GATGTGTTTTATGACAGCATTGACACGTGTAACCCAAGACTCAGTAAGACAACAGCGGCGCCGAGTACTATAAATTATAGTTAATCAGAGAAGCCGGTAGTGAATATAAAACAATAATGTAGTACCAAAGACTGTTCATACAAAACGTTCCTTTTTAAGAAAAAATTACAATGAAAAACATCCCCCAAAAAAAAAATTCAGGTCCTACCGAGATTTGAACTCGGATCGCTGGATTCAGAGTCCAGAGTGCTAACCATTACACCATAGGACCTTGATGTTACTTTGCGTCCACCATTAAACACTTTCAGTTGCCTCAATGTTTCCTTCTTTTCAGCCAACTAGTGATATTTTTTCTGCCTTTAGCTTTGCAATAAGCAGAGTTTAAAATTCCATCGTGGGGTTTTTTTTCAGTTATACAAGTTTCATGCAAGGCTCATAATCGATTGATTTACACGTCTGAGAAGTGCATGCTATAATATAATATATTCTTTTAAATCATTTGCAGTTTGAATCGTTGCCGAAGCCGAATTTTAAAGATCTTACACTTTTTTATGTTTGCCCTATTTCTACCTTTAAAAAATAAAGACCCCCATCAACAAAATCAAATCACAAAACAACATTGTTGTTGTGACTGACATTAGATTAGATCTAGAGTCTAGATCTTGCCTACAGGAGATTTACGATGTTCAAATTCCTCATGAAAAAGAAAGCTAAAAGTAAAGGATACTGTACTGTTGCAACTTTCAGTTTCTGTTTTGGGTGAGTGAAGACGGAGAACGCTCCTGACGGTACTTGGACCGACTCAGACAGAGACGGAGACGGAGAGTAACGCGGCCTTCTAACTAAAAATAAAATGCATTGTCGGTGTCGCGTAGAGGCCTTCTATTGACATGATTTGAAAATTGAAGACAATGAAGTTTGTAAGGGAATAACGGACGATAGATCTAGATCTAGGTCTCGGTTCCAGGAGCTAGAACACACCGCATGCACACCCCACCCCTGCTGAGCTGTCAGACGGCTGAGACTCTTACTCTTGGCCTTGGCTAGCCTAGAGTTTTTTAATAAGAGCCGAGGGCGAGACCCTCTTAGCGTTGGTCTAATCTAGATTAGATCTCTAGAATCTAGACAGATCTACATGTATGTATATCTAAGCTTACACTCGTCTCCCAACACAAGTCAGGCTCCACACGTCTGGGTCCACGCACTGAGGGTTGATTGGTTCAGTAACTGTGAGTAGAATGTGGATGCCTCTTTTCTTTAAGGGAGTGTAGTGTATACAGACCCGGTAACCGGGAACAAAGTCACAAAGTATACAGACCCGGTAAGGGAACTCTTTTGTGATTTCAGAGAGTTTCCAGCGCCCTCTTGGCTCAGGGTAGACCTAGATCTAGGTTCTTACTTCTAGATCTATCTATGATCTAGATCTAGGCAGACTAACTTAGATCTAAATCTTTGATCTAGTTTCGCGGCTAGCCTAGATCTAAATGAAGATTGCGGATGTCATTTCGATGAACGATCCTTTTTCCTCCGTTTTGGAGTTAGGGAAATCACAATTTGAAGAAAAGAGCAAGTTACAATGTCATAATTTCAATCGAGCAGCCCCCCCCCCCCCCCCCTCTCTCTCTCTCTCTCTTTCTCTCTCCTCTCTGTATCGCTCGCCTTCTCTTTTTCTTTGTTTGTCTCTGTCTTTATTTGTCCCCACCTATTTCCCACTCTATCTTTCTCTCGTTCCCTCCTGCCAACTGGGGCATACATTTTGCTAGCACCCCCCCTCCTCTCTTTCTCTCTCTCTCTCTCTCTCTCTTTCTCTCTCTCTCCCCCTCTCTCTCTCTCCTTCTCTCTCTCTCTCTCTCTCTCTCTCTCTCTCTCTCTCTCTCTCTCTCTCTCACACACACACACACACACACACTAGGTTTCTACCGGGTCTGGGGGCTGAAACTTCCCGAAATCACAAAAGAGTTGGCTGGATTGTACTTTACCGGACCACCCGTCTCGGTTTGTGATTACTACGCACACCTAGCCTAACTACGCTCTCATAGTCATAGTACTCTGCGTGCGGACAAAAGGTAGTTCCGCGGGCGACTTCGCGCACGCACAGCGCAAGCCAGCGGCAACTGGCGAGGCGAGGTGAGCGAGAGTTGGTGGTTGAGAGTGGGCAGGAGATTTAACTTTGGTGAACCACCATGTATCATACCAACAGTGGGGAGGGGGAGGGGGGTTCAGGGGGGCTTGCCCCCCTGGAAACTATAATAAAGAAAACACACAAAAATGCGAAACAATAACATGAGCGGACAGTCGTGTTTACATTCAGGGGCCCCCCTGGCAACAATAATTTAAAGACACTGACACACACATATTATAAACAATAACATGAGCGGACAATCGGGGTAGATACTCGCCAAGTCGCGAGCAGGGCCGAGGGGGTTGCAATTATGCAAATGAGCTCTCGTGTGCATCTTTAGCCCTCCATTGTACTTTGCCGGACCAGGAGTAGGCCTAGGCCACCCAGCAGAGTTGCGAGCAAATAAGAATAGTGGACCACGTGATAAGATTGACCAATTAGCCTCAATATGTCAGGGTCATGGGTCAAAGGGCACGGTGGCACGGTCGTGATGACTGAAAAACCCAGTAAGAGACGTCAGTCGATTGCTGGCAGTTGAAGAGTGAGGATGTAGAAAACTGAGTAGGAGAGTGAATAGGGGAGCTCGGAAACGAAGAATAGCGGGCCACTAGGCACCAGGGGCGCCATAGCGAAAGTAGTTCCGACCGGTGGTCCGGTAAAGTACAATCTTACCAAAGAGTTCCCCTACCGGGTCTGTATACTTCGTGACTTTGTTCCCGGTTACCGGGTCTGTATACACTTCGTTTCTTTAAATGAAATGTCTTTGCTTTTACTTGAAGGACTAATCTAGATTCTAGTAGATCTCTGGATTCTATTATTTACTGTGCTCTGTTATTTATTAATATTATTACTTTAATTATTTGAAATGTTCTTTGTCTTTTTTCTTATGATTGAGGAATTAGGTTTAATTCAAAAAGGTAACAGTATTGTGCTGCTAACTTTTACAAAAGAAAGTGGCTATTCTCACCCGCCGGAAGTTCTCGCAAGATCAACTCCTCCCCTCTTCTCTCTCTCTCTGTCTCTTTCTGAATACTGTCTATCGGTGTGGACGATCAAATTGACCAAAACAAAGTTAAAAAATGATGTTAAAACACAAAAGTAAATTAATTTGGTTGTTTACAAAGATGCTACGGCTATTTAACTTTTCGAATCGAGCCGAACTACGCGGGTCGCCATTTTGTTTTGCCCGGAAATTCTCGCGCTACCCCTCTCTCTCTCTTTCTCTCTCTCTCTCCACTGCCCACAGACAAAATTGTACGCTTTTAGTAGGCTACAGTTGTAATGGAACGTTTGTTCACGGCACAGAATTTTACAATTTTTCTGTTATCACAGTGTAGAATTCTGTGGTTTAGGGTGAACGCAAAATTTGGTGAACGCGCATCGGGTGAGAATAGCCACAAGACTCGCCTGCACTATTCTCACTCCGGGTGAGAATAGAGGTGGCCTTTACAAAATGCTACGCAAGGAGACTGGTAGTGGTAGATTGTATGAATAATGGGTAAGAAAAGTTTGGTAAGTTTTTACTAATGCACCCACACATAACTGCATCGATTTGAGGGCTAAACTGCCATAATTTTTGCTGTGGCCACTAAAACCCTTCCAAAACATCAAATCATTGTGAAATGCCCCCCTGAAACCCCCCATATTTTTTTCGAAGTGACTATTTCTCCGAACGTTCGGAGAAATAGTGCCGATCTTTATTTCTCCGAACGGTTTCCAGCTTCCAGTCTCGTGATTTTTTGCCTATTTATTGCGAGAGTTCGGCGCCAACTTTCATTCTGCCTCTGGTCTGGGTGGGAAGGAACACCGCATGGCAAGCCCGCCTACAGACAACCTTCAGTAACACCCACCACACACTTACCACCATCATGCACATGTACACACACTAACTAAACGTGACCAGTGGGCAACTTTTGAACGTATGACGAGCTGAGCTGTGGATGGAGAGACAGTGTGAGTGACAGAGCGGGTGAAAGGAAGAATATATGTGCAAGTGTATCCACAGGCGACAGCAACTACACGACGACGACACCGACCCCCTGGCCTGGTCCACAGCTCACGAACGAAAGGAATGCAGCTCAGGCAGTGTTTTGGCTATATTATTGTCCATGGTTCGCAGGGTGCTAGGGAATGAGTGAGATTTTCTTTGTGTGTTCATGGAGGGAGGAGGTGGGGTATGAAAGTCATGTGGACGTGGATGAGCCGCGGGAGAAAACACGGGAATTGAATGAATGAGTGAAACTGAAAGAGACGAATGACCCATGAGCCCTGGAGTGAATGGATCCTGTGTTTCTATTTTTGTATACTTTGAACTGTTACTGAATAAAGGCTGAAACAAAGCCCCGAAAACAAACACACACACACACACTCCTCACTCTCCACTTACTACCACACACAGGCACACTCACACATGCACATACATAAACACACACACACACACAGGAGAAAATTTTTGGTTCTATATCTATTTCAATTTTCAAGAGATAGTCTAGAGATTTTTAGATGAGTGTAAAAACGTGAAAAAGAAAGGTTTCACAACAGAAAGAAATCAAAATTAGAACAGCCCATAAACAACAACAAACATTAACAAATAAAAGGGTGTGTCCACCTGTCTGAAGAAGATTGGCTGTTTTAACCCTAAATAAATGCATAATTTTAAAAAAGTGCAGGATATTACATGTAAGTTATGGAATCACACACATTAAGGGGCTTGCCAGTGTCAGTACAGTGGAACTCGGATTCAACGAGGTCGCCGGGCCTGAGCTAAAATCTCGTTGAATCCGAGTGTTCGTTATAGCAAACATGAGGTTTTGTATAGATAATTACAGGCACTAAGCAAGTAATGTGTATAAAGAGAAGTCACAAGTAGTGCTTGAAATGCCTGCATATTATGAGCTGTGTAAAAAAAAAGATCGATTCGTTCAAATGCACACACCTGATTGTTTACCAAAAAGTTGTGTTGCTGTGTAGAGCCTAGCATTACGGCAACTTTTGATTCCACTGACCAGCGCACAATTCATTACGTAGATCTACGTCAAGACTAGCTTATCATTGTAATAATGATCAGTTGCTAAGGAAAAAAAAGACTGTGACGCGTTTGTATCTGCGACGTTCCAACGCCTGGACCGCTAGCCCCCCTCCCCGACACGCACGCACACACAGCCACACGTGTGCAGGCCACCCATCCGACCCCGACATACGCCAGAGTAGACATGTGCGTGTGCCAACGACGCATGTGTTAGTATGGAAAAAGGCCGCTGATTGGTTGCGAGCAATCGGCTAAGTGAATAATGGTTCACGATGTAGGTACAATGGATGGTTTCCGCGAATAGATAAAGTTCGTTCTGGGAGAAAAATGAGCGAAGTCACGTCTGCGGGGGGCTGTTCACCCTGGAAGCGACCTCGTTGAATCCGAGCTCGCTGATTTAAGTGCTTGTTGAATCCAGGTTTTATTTTTATTGATTTTAAAGAAGAAAAAAAATGGGGAATCTATCTCATTTCTTTGAATCCGAGTTCTCGTTGAATCCTAGCTCGTTGAACCCGAGTTCCACTGTACATTGGTCGCAGCAGTGACAAACGCAGATGTCAGTTCTATGTGTTGTTATCAATAACCCTCCGTATATCTAGATCTAGATCTAGACAGCACACGAGTGAACACAACACATTACATTTAAGAGCAGCACCCTTCATAGGCAACACGTCATATCTGTAGCGAAAAACTGTTTGGAATTGTAGCATTTCTTTATATAAATATTTACTGCGGACATTTTTTTGGACCGATTGAACCATATTGTATACGAACAATCTTTGGTAGGCCTATACTATAATTATAGATCTATATAATATCCTAAATTTGCGGGAAAGGATGAGATTTGAGAGTGTTCGAAGAAATAGTGCCCAGCTTTATTTTCCCGAACGTTCGGAGAAATAGTGCCTAGCTTTATTTTCCCGAACGCTCGGAGAAATAGTGCTGGCCTATTTTTTTAGGCCAGGGGGGGCATGCCCCCCCCTGTAATCCCCCCTATAATGTTAAATTTACTATTTTCAAACATCAATAACTCCATAACTATTTATTTGCGGCAAAAATGAAGGCCATTTTTGTGTTCAGCATGCTATTAGAAAAGAAGTAAAACGTGAACATGAGACGGGTGCATAAAAAACCCCAAAAAGTTTGGGTTTTTTAAACTCATGCACCGTCTCGTGTACACGTTTTATATATATATATATTTACTTTTTTTCTAGTAGTAGTAGTATTTTGCATGCTGAACACGAATATGGCCTTGAATTTTGCCGCAAATCAATAGTTATTTATGTTTGAAAAAAGTAATATTTTACTAATATTTTAACAAAATGGGGGTTTCCAGGTGGGCATGCCCCCCTGCATTTCACAATGATTTGATGTTTTGGCTAAATTAGGAATGATATTTACTTGAATACAATTAATTTGCAAGGGTTTTAGATTTTAGTATGTGTGTTCTACAGCAAAAATTATGGCAGTTTAGCCCTCACAAATCAATGCATCTGTGTGTGGGTGCATATAACATTATAAGTAAAAATTTACTGAATAAAAAGAGGAGACAAATTTCTACTTTCCAATGTTTTGTTAAAATTTTTGCATTTGTCAACAAACAAGCAAAACACCCTTGGGGAATTTTAATAAACAACAAAAAAAAAAAAACGCGGGTAGATCTAATTAAATTTTTTTTTTTTTTAAAGACACCGAACCTCTTTTACTTTTAGAAAGAAAGTTTATTTTCATTTCCACTTCACTTCGTCTCTTTCTACTTTCTCTCACTTTTTTACACCACGTTGATTTGTTATTTTCATGTGAAGAATGCAACTAGTACATTACATACTATAAATATTGCTGTTTCTCATTTATGTTTCCCTCTTTGTTGTGCTTTAATAAAATTTGTTGGTGTGTTAATTTTTTTTTTCTTGTTATTGTTCTGATGTGTGGTATTTCTATTTTTTGTGTGTTATGTCGTGTCATTTAATTTCATGTTGTTCTCCACCGAAACCGAATACTGACACTGGCAGGCCCCTTGTGTGTGATTCCTATAATTTTCATAATATCCTGTCCTTTTTCTTGAATTTCACACGTTTAGGGTTAAAATGGCCAATCTTCTGATAAAAGTGGACACATGCCCTTTTTTGTTGTTGTTTATGTGCTGTTTTAATTTTTATTTCATTCCTTTGTGAAACCTTTATTTTTCACGATTTTACACTATGTGCGGCTACAAATTATGATATACTTGATGCTTAAATCACTCGATCCGGTGACCGAGATATCGGCTCGGTCAGCTCATGGGCTGCGTTCCATCCCACAACTGCGATAATCAGTTCTATAGTTTTGTTCCGTACTAGTTATTTTGATTCAGAAAACGGCCTCAAGTTTTATGTAAGGTCAATTTATTATTACCCCGGCCAATTCTGCCTAGAGGGGTGCTGGGATTTTGTTTTTACTGTCATTGCACACGGAGAAATCGCGTTTTTTGTGAAGGCACTTTCAGCACGTTTGTTGACACCGATCGGCTGAGCATGTCTCACAATCGATTTTCTCTGCCTTTCTCACACATACATATTTTTTTTAATTCCTGAAAGTATTCAACAGTCTTTATTGTACATGGCGTACAATAAAAGTTCTAGACACCCACAATCATATTTGAATCAATGTTGTCTTGCTCATTCGGTGCTAAAAAAAATTATAAGCCCCCCCCAAAAATGTCAAATTTGTACAACACCCCAAGGCAGAACTACTAAAGATACATACTTCAAATTTGATAAGATCCATCTTAGTTTGTACTTTGTGCCAAATTTCAAAGCAGTTGGATTATATATTTATGGTTACTAGTGGGCCCTTACATAAGTGCCAAAATGACCGATTTCTGGGTACAATTTCGGGGAAAACTCCCGCGGTTGAATGAGTTAAAACAGAGCACAAGAAATTCTGGTGCTTCAGATTTTAAGTTGTATCCTCTGTCAACATACTATATTGCTATGTCGTCACAGAGAGTTGAAAGCTTGAAAATTAATTTCAACTTTTTTGGCAACTTTTGCCATTTTATGTGGCAAATTTTTAACCAAAAAATGGCAACGAAATGCTAGAATCGTTGTTTTGTTTAGTTCTGTATTCTCATTGAGGGAATGTCCCCTCGAGCAAAAAAATCTTTTGGGTTTCAGAAGGGGCACTCATGCCCTCTCCCTGAATTCCCCCCATAACTTTATCATTCACAATTTCTGTGAGATTTCTAGTCTGTTACTTAAGGTATTATTTTACTCATGGACCCATCTCATGCTTTTTTAAAGCAGTTTTCTTGTTCAATTTTATCTGTTTTACGAATTTAGAGTATATATCCACTGCAAATTATTAGTTTATGAGATAATGTATAGATATTTTTATACGCACTACAACTATATATTACAATAGTTTTTGACAACTTGGGGGGTTTCTGGGGGGTATGCCCCTCTCTCTCTCTCTCTCTCTCTCTCTCTCTCTCTCTCTCTCTCTCTCTCTCCCTCCCTCTCCCTCTCCCTCTCTCTCTCTTGGAACAAAAATTGTTTAGAGGTATGTGAACATTGTCCTTCTCTGTCTCCAGTCTCACTTTGCTTGGGAAATAAGATGAGTTTACCAGAGAGGCCTGCCAATGTTTTGAAGGAAGGGAAGGAGGGAAAGGATCGACGTCGACTTGTTTCAATCACCCGTGTAGCGGATCAAAACAGTGTCCCACAAGAAATTACCATCGTCAAAGATCTCGACTCGTTTGGATTGCTCAACTCTTCAGGTCAGTTGGGTTGTTTTTTTGCCTTGGGAGCTATTGAGAGCACTTTGAATTTTGTGAATGGGATTTTATATTATCGGTAACAGGCATAGACTATGTAAGTCTGAAACTAGGTCAAGGTGTATGAGAAGTCTGTGCTTTTCTCAAAACAAAGTTTTTTTTAAAGGATCATCAGTCGAATTTGGTATTCAGCACAGCATTTCTGTATGGCCTTTAGTCTTAAGAATGATAGTAACCCTTATGATAATAATAATAATAATAATAATAATATAATTACATTTTTATTTTGTCCCAGAAGGGCACTTTGTTTTACAATGGCAGACATACATACATAAATACATAATTATAAATACGTAATACATAAATACATACATGCATAAATACATACATAAATACACACTATTACACAAATACAGAACAGGTTACAAACAATGCCACTGTCGGTCGCCACTGTGCAGCGCCCTGTAATTTGAGCTAGGGTTGTCGTGTCTTGCTCAAGGACACACTCCAGTGACCACCCATCTGATCACCGTGTCACCGACACTTGCTTGACATTGCTTGAGTCAAAACTCACTACTCACTTAGCCACTGGAGCCCCCAGTGATGTATAGTGATAATAGTATTATGAATTGCTTTTATATAGTGCATATCCATGCTCTACAGCATGCTCTATACACTTTAACCATCTATTATTACCCTAGAACACTACTCGCAGAAACATTCTCAGTTTCCTAGGAAGCGTGCAGTGCAAGCTGCAGATTAGGAGATGCACTAAAACACTGACAAACCGAACAAGCTCTTTCCCTGTCCATGACTGGGTACCACTTGGTGGAGGTGAGGCAATTGTAAAAGGCCTTTCCCAAGGACACAACATTGGGATTCGAACCCACGACCTTATGAGTGAGAGTCTTGAGATCCTAACATTACTGCTAACAAAACTAGACAATCGGTTGCAGAGATGGAAAGCTCTATTGGCTTGATATTAACTCCCCTACCGATACAATACTTTGCTATACGATGTGTTCCAAAATGTACGTGGTTTTAAAGTGGGCGCCACTGGTAGACCAAGTATTTTTTCCTTCCCCGCTTGTTGTTTCATCCGTCTGTTTGTCCTACTGTCTTGCCTTTTCCTTGTGCACCCAGTGCGCACTGCCAATGGGATTCATTTGATATAGTGGGGGCCCAATAGATTTTCCTTCATGGAAGGTAAAAAGAACAAAAAACATTTGGGCGCAATGCAACTGATTTGGCTCATGACCTTGTTGCCTTGTTTTTATTATGATATCTTTCACAGTCTTTTTGTTGTTATTGATTCAATATTCCCCAAAACTGTCAGGTCAGCCTTAGTGCTGCTACCATATAACAACAGTAGATGGTACTACCTGCAGCTGTTCCTACTGCCTTGTAGGTGCATACAGGAGTATGAAAGGTTAAGGGAGTAAACCTTAAACAAATCCGGAGGGAGGGGCCCAAAGGCAGTCGACAGGGAGGAAGGATCCGAACTATCTTCTGGCAGCCCCTGCAACTTTACTGGTTCCAAATGTATTGACCTGGTCTCTCCTTTGGACTAAATCAGCTAAGTTGAGGTGGGGTTCGTGCAAATTGGGCAAGGCACGTTCTCCATATAGTCAGGCCTAGGCATTTAGCTTTTTCAATATTTCTGGGAGGACGCTGCAAAAGAGCGAATACAGGGGATCAGAACCACAGCTACAACAGCATTTATATGATTATGGAGAGGACACTTCATCCTTGTTGTGACGAGCAAGGGAAATAACACGGGAGGTGGCAGTTTACGGGTTATAAGACATCCTTATTTGGCGGAACAGGATGTTGCCACGGGTCACCTTTGACGATGGGAGTGACTATTCAGTCACACTGATCAGCTACTGCCCGTCTCAGACTGGGCAGCCCCCAGTCAGTAAGGTGCTGATCCGCCACGTCTGCTTCTATGGGTGTATGGAGCTAGGACAAAAACCGAAAAGCAGACGTTAAATCCAGCACCAGGCAAAAAAAGAGTAAAACTAACTCCATGGAAACTGGGGAACTGGAATGTTAGAACAATGACAACCGGATTGGACACTACCGACCTGGAGAAAACAGAGGACATCAGAAAGACAGCAATCATAGACAGGGAGCTCACACGACTCAATGTAGACATCACTGCCCTGCAAGAGACAAGACTTGCTAACTCTGGTACCATCAGGGAAAGAAACTACACATTCTTCTGGAAGGGTCTTGGACAAGATGAGAGGAGAATCCATGGTGTGGGCTTTGCAGTACAAAACAGATTGCTGAACAGGATCAGCACCCTCCAAGGTATATCCGAACGTATCACTGTCATGGAAATGGAAACCAAAACTGGAAAGGCTCACTTCATCAGCGCCTACACCCCAACCCTAACAACAGAAAATGAGAAAAAAAGACCAGTTTTACAAGGAACTTCAGGATGCAATCAACAACGTCCCAAAAGCAGACCACCTGTTTCTCATGGGCGACTTCAATGCAAGAGTAGGTACTGAAAACAAAGTATGTCCCACCTGCCTTGGACCTTTTGGGCTGGGAAAAATCAATGAGAATGGTCAGAGACGCTTAGAATTCTGCACAAATAACAACCTTTGCATCACTAACACCTTCTACAGTGGCAAGGACAGACACAAAGTTTCTTGGTGCTATCCAAGATCAGGCCATTGGCACCAAATCGACCTCATCATCGTCAGAAAGAAAGATGCCAACATGGTAAAGCAAACAAGATCCTTGTACAGTGCAGCATGCAACACAGACCACGTTTTAGTTATAGCTAAGGCAAAGAGAGTCACGAAGAAAACACCAAGAGCTGAAAAACAAAAGAAACCTAAGATCAACATAAGAAATACCAAAGACCCAGCGTTAAAGGCAAAATTTCAAGAACATGTTAAAGAAGAGCTCCAACATCTAGATAGCTCATCCCCAGACAACATGTGGAATAGCATGAGATCAACAATTTATAATTCTGCGTCGATTACTTTTGGAATAGAAAGACCTTACAAGGGGGACTGGGTTGAGGCCAGTGCATCAACACTTGCACCACTACTCGAGAAAAAGCATAAGATTCTGATAGAACACAACACAAATCCAACAGAGAGTACAAGGCAACAACTATGTGCTGCTGAATCCAACCTTCAGAGAGAAACCAGTAAGTGTGCCAATCAGTACTGGGACAAGTTATGCTCAGAAATCCAACAGGCCAGCGATACAGGTAATATCAGGAAAATGTATGAAAACATGAGAGTTGCTATTGGACCAACAGCTAACAAAGTGGCGCCTCTAAAGTCTGCGACAGGTGAACAGCTGACAGACAAGAAGAAGAAACAAATGGAAAGATGGGTGGAACACTATTCAGACTTATACTGAGAGGAACGACATGTTGATAGACAGCTGCATGAGGCCATTCCTCAGGTCTCCGAAATGTCAGAACTTGATACAACACCAACAGAAGAAGAACTTACCTCTGCAATCGATGAACTCGCTTGCAGAAAAGCAGCAGGAAATGACAACATACCTGCTGAAGTGCTGAAAGAACAAAGAGACCCTCCTCCCATATCTCTACAAGCTACTAACGACTTGTTGGCTGAAAGCAGAAATTCCACATGACATGAGAGAGATGCCAAAATCACCACACTCTACAAAAACAAAGGGGACAAAGGAGATTGCAACAACTACAGGGGTATCTCACTGCTAAGCATCACTGGAAAAGCTTTCGCTAGGATCATCCTGAAGCGACTTCAGAAACTAGCAGAAAGAGTCGTACCAGAGAGCCAATGCGGTTTCAGATCAAACCGCTCAACCATGGACATGATCTTTTCTATTCGTCAGCTACAAGAAAAATGCAGGGAGCAACGACTGCCATTACATACTGCGTTCGTCGATCTGACAAAGGCTTTTGATGCAGTCAGTAGATCAGGATTGTACATGGTGCTTGGAAAAATTGGCAGTCCCCTAATACTGCTACAGCTCATCATCTCATTCCACGAAAATATGAAGGCCACCATTCAGTTTGACGGTTCAACATCAAACAGTTTCAACATCAATAGCGGAGTAAAGCAATGTGATGTCTTAGCACCAACCCTCTTTTGCACTTATTTTGCTGTCTTACTGCAACACACATTCAAAGAGTCACCAGGGGATGTCTTCCTCCACTGGAGAACTGATGGGTCTCTCTTCAATCTTGCTCGACTCAAGGCCAAGACCAAGATCAACAAAACAACAGTACGAGACTTTCTCTTCGCCGATGATGTTGCTCTTGTTGCTCACAGTGAATCAACCCTACAAACAATGATGGACCGCCTATCAAAAGCATGCAAGGTCTTTAGCTTGGTCATCAGTGTTAAGAAATCAGTCATCCTTACCCAAGAAGGTGCAGAGCAGAGCCATATATGGCTGAACGACAAGGAACTTAAGACAGTGGACAAGTTCTGTTACCTGGGGTCTACCATTAGCTCTACAACATCACTTGATTATGAGATCAACATCAGGATAGGGAAAGCAGCAACAACTTTTAGAAGGCTGACAAAACGAGCATGGGAAAACAAAAGATTTTAACCATCAAAACAAAGATCAAAATTTACGAAGCATGTGTCCTCAGCACACTCCTTTATGGATCTGAAACATGGACCTTGTACAGCAGACAAGAAAAGCGCCTCGACATTTTCCATCTCAGATCTTGGACATTTCGTGGCTTGACAAGGTTATAAATGTTGAAGTGTTGGCATGGGCAAACTTTCAGAGCATGACAACTATCCTGTGTTTAAAAAGACTGAGATGGCTGGGCCATGTCAAGAGAATGGATGACAACCGGATTCCGAAGCAACTTCTCTATGGAGAACTTGCACAGGGAAAGAGACAAAGAGGAAGACCAAAATTGAGGTACAAAGACACCTGCAAAAACAACTTATCTAAGCTTGGAGTAGATGTTAACCTCTGGGAAGAAATAGCTGAGGACCGGAAAACATGGAAGAAAATGATAAAGGAAAAAACTAAAATGCTAGAGAACAGCCTTAGAAACAACCAGGCTGAGAAGCGCCAACAACGAAAGGAAAACAGCGGAAATACAGAGCTTCGATCTACGACACTGACATGCAAGCAGTGCGACAGAATCTGCGCTTCAAACAAAGGAAGAATTAGCCATGAAAGAAGCTGCATGAAGACAACGTTGAGGCCATCTTAAGCTAAATTGACCGTCTGCATAGACGAAAAGAGCCATATATTCCCCAAAACTGTCAGGCTGCAATGGCTGTTGAGTGAAAAATAGCTCAGGCTCAAGACTCCAGAGAGTTAATATTGAAAGCCACGATTGAATTTAGTTGAATTTGGTTTTATTGTTCTAAAAAGGTAGCTTTTGTTCCATCCGTAAAGGAAATCTGGCTGGCCAAATGAATTCGATTGGCAGTGTGCACTGGGTATATGAATCGCTTTTGTGCATATATGTGTCGGGACGTGGTGGCATCAGGCACTCGTCAATTTTTAGGCATGCACAGTTATATTTTGAAGAGCACCTGATTTCACAACAATACCTCACTTATACATGCTACATAAAAATGTTCACTCTCTTTTTCTTTGTTTTCATTTTTCTTCTCTTAGGTTACCAGAATTCGGGTGATAGAAGAAGTGGAACTTGGGCTAGAAAGTTTGATTCCCACAGCTCGGACATGAATGAGTGGACACCAAGCCAATCCAAAATGAAGAAAATAAAATTTGAATGGACCTTGGACGAATCCCCGGACGATTCTTCTCGCCCACAGGAAGCTTCAGATGTTTCTTCTCACGATGTCAACGGCAAAGCTATAAACGATTCTTCTCGCTTAGACGACACTACAGACATTTTCCCAGATTTATATGGATCTTCGGATATTTCTCCTAATATCTCTGATTCTTCAGATATTTCCTCTCCCGCCCCCGGTTTTGACAGAGGAAAACGGTCTCGATCCTCTGGTGTGCTGGGAGATGGAGGTCACAGTTCAGATGACAAGGGTCAGAGGTCAGATTCTTATGCAACACAGGCAGTTGCTTCTGAGAGGAACGGTGACGGCGTAAGTGTTGCTGACGTGAAAATAGAACTGGAGTCAGACGAAGAGCGCGTTGCCACGGGAGCCATGCCACGTCTTCCTAGTTTTTCCCAGCTGTCCCAAAGTCTGATCAAGATGCGAGAGGGTTCCTGTTCGAGTGCAAGCAAGAAGAGAAGGCTTTCGGGACCTGTTTGTGTTTCACCTAAGCAGCGATCGGCATTGACTAAGCAGCAGCGGTTGATTTTACCTAAGTCCCCACAGGTTTTTTCTAATCCAGAATCGACTTTGCATAAACAGGGATCAGTGAAACAGCAAGAGGCTGGAAATCCTTCTCCAAATACTCCCATCGGGGGCAAGAAAGGTTCTGATACCTTTCCCCCAGAGACTGGTAGACCGGAGGGTGAGATCTGTGATGGCAACCCACGTGTGGTCATGGAGCGTGTCTGTGAGAAGCTGTTGCCGAGGTCATCATCAGTGTCTGCCTGTGTCATGGGAGACATGAGTTTGCCCCCTTCCTCCTCGTCCTTCTCATCCTCATCCTCTTCCGCCTTAGCATCAGCATCAGCATCAGCAGTACTGCCAAAGCATGTGGTGGATCAGTTGCTCTCTCGAGATGGTTGTAAGACTCGGTCAACTTCCAGCCTGGTCGTCGGTGGCACGAGTTTGTCCCTTTCCTCCTCCTCCTCCTCAGCATCAGCAGTGCTGTCGAAGTATGTGGTGGATCAGTTAGTCTCTCAAGATAGTGGTGGGACTGTGTCTGCGTCCAGCCATGTTGAGGGGAGTGCGAGTTTGTCCCCTTCCTCCTCCTCAGCATCGGCATCAGCAGTACTGCCAAAGCATGTGGTGGATCAGTTGCTCTCTCGAGACAGTGGTAGGACTTTATCGGCAGGCGGCCTGAACTCGCTCAAGGGGACAAATTGCCTGTACTTCCTCGAGGTCTCCACACGCCCGACACCTCAGGCTCAGAGCAAGAAGCCTCACTCTGGCCTGCCCCTCCACGCCGACGTGGCAAGTTCTCAATCTTTCGCCAAACAACGAAATCTTACCCCTGCCCCTCTCGATACTACTCCTTTGAACAACGGTGGGGGAGTGTCAGTGGTCATTAGCGATAAGGAAAAGTCTATTTTTGTCAAGAAAAAGACACCTGTTATCATCAAAGAACAGTCACCCATCGTTGTCATACAAAAGTTACCTCCAGTTGTCAAGGACAAGTCTCTTTCTGTTGAGGAAAGTTCACCCCCTGTTGTCATCAAGGAAAAAGCACCCATTGTCATCAAGGAAAAGTCACCCATTGTTATCAAGGAAAAGTCACACGTTGTCGACAAGGCTAAATCACCAGTTGTCAACAAGGAAAAATCACCACTCACCACTGTCAAGGAAAAGTCACCCGATGTCAACAAAGAAAAGTCAACACTCATCACTGTCAAGGAAAAGTCACCAGTTGTCAACAAGGAAAAATCACCACTCACCACTGTCAAGGAAAAGTCACCCGATGTCAACAAAGATAAGTCACCACTCATCACTGTCACGGAAAAGTCACCCGTTGTCAAGGAAAAGTCACCACTAGTCACTGTCAAGGAAAATTCGTCCAATGTCAAGGAAAACTCATCGATTCTGAGTCAAGGAAGTTCTACTGCTGTCGGGGAAAAGTCATCTATTCTGAAAAGAAAAGCATCTGTTACGGAGGAAGAGTCAATGAAAAGCCGGCTCACTCGTGCACGGAATTCAGAACCTCCCTTGAAACGTTCAGTGAGGCTGTCAGCCAAGAGTAATGTCACAGCAGCCAGAGAACGAAGAAGAGAAGTGGGTAAGGCTCTTGAGAGGAGGCGAAATCATCCACTGAGACTAGCAGCTAAGAAGAAACTACAGGTAAAACTGAAATTCCAGAGGGGGGACGGGAGAGGCCAGCCTGGTCAGTGGATTAGCCTCTTAAGAGATGTGCATACACGGAAAGACCTTAAGAAGGGTACAGGCAGCGGCAAACAGCGGAAGTTGGCTAATGATAAGTTGAGGTCTTCGAATGAAGGAAATGTTATTTCTTCTTGTGCTAGGAATCGTAAGGATGTAACTGCTGAGGTAGATATAGTGGAACACGCTGTTTCCACATCTGTGAGTGGTACTGGTGGATCGAAAGATATTTCTGCATCAAAGAGTCCTCAAGGATCGAAAGATATTTCTTTGTCAAATAGTGCAAAAGATGTTTGTTTGGCAAAAGGAAATGGGAACAGGGAGACTTCTGTCAGTTTGAATGATGTGATGATGGAACACGAAGGCAGTAAAGATTTGGAAGTTTTACAGGATGCTTCTGATTCCTCGCAACTACCTTTTCCTCCTCCTCCTCCCCCTCCTCCTCTCCCTCTTTCCCCTAGTGTCACAACAACTCTGAGGGAGGAGGAGAAGGTGGAACTACAGTTGTCTAGCTCCTCACAGGAGAAAAGGAAAAGGTCGAGGGTCGGTCGGCTGGTGGACAAAGGTTTCATGGAGACAGCCTCGTCGAAAGAGAAGGTGATCATCAGCCCCCCCAGCTCTCTAGCCTGGGTGAACTCGGCGGGAAAAGCCATTTTGGCACCGGTGGTGCGTCACGGAATAGACCAGTTGGTGAGCAAAGGGTGCTCACAAGTCTACCTGGAGATGAACAGCACCAATCAGTGTTACAAAGTGTGTACCAAGTCAAAACCTTTCAAACTTCTGCTCGTCGGTCGATCGTTGAACAGAGGCAGCGCGCACAAGTCTCCTTCTGCTTCACGCAGTGTCAATGTTGGCGAACAGACTGTGAATAAAAATGAATCTGGGGAATTAGCAAGTAAAGACTGTCAAAGAGTGAATGGGGATAAATCTGGAGAATTATCAAAGAAAGATTGTCGGACAGTTAATGCAAAAAACTCGAGAGAATTCAGACAGAAGGGCCGCCCGAGGAAGAATAAAAAGAAATCTGGGGCTTTAGCAAAGAAGGGCCTTCCAACAGAAAACGCAAATAAATCTGGACAATCCACAGACACAGGTACTCAGACAATGATTTCAAATGAATCTGGGGAATCCTCGGACGGAGACACAGGTCCTTGTGCGGTGGCTCCAACTTCTGTCGTTGCCAAGGATAACGACTGTCTTTCTGGTAAGAGCATCAAGATATCCTCATGGTCTTAATAACTGCTTCTTCTTCTTCTTCTATCCCGTGGTTGGGGCAACCGTTGGGGCACCACTGCATTGGAAAACCAGCTCTCGCCATCTATTTTTGTCCTCTGCTCTCCTCAGATTGTCACCCATCGTCTTTCCTGCCTTCCTCTCTTTCTCTTTTCTTGTACTGTTGATCAAATCATTCTTTTTTCCTCAAACAAGAAACGAACAAACAAACAAAATTGGAAAGGTAGTTACATAATGATCGTGAAGATAGTTTTTAGTTTTAATTTTTGATAGCGTTTTAAGGCACTTGTAACTCAAAAATAGGTCATACAAGTACCGAAGATTAGAGGTGTTACTTACTAGAGAGTAGTAACATATACAGAAAAGAAGGAAGAGATGTAAGGATGATAGTTGTTTAATAGGAAAGGAGGAGGAGAGATAAGGATGATAAATATCTGATAGGAAAGAAGAAAGAAGGAGGAGAGATAATTATGATAGCTGTTTGATGGGAAAGAAGGAGGGAGGAAAATCGAGGATGATACCTATTTGATATTTGATAGGAAAGGAGGAGCAATAAGGACGGTAACGGTATCCGGGTATAGCCATGAAGAAGGGACCTTCTTGTGAATAGAAAAGCATAGAAATAGTGAAGTGTTTTTGTAGCTGCTAGAACACTTTGTGGCTGTAAATGTAGATGTTTTACTCCCCCATCGACACAATTTGTATCATTAAGGAGGCAGGCTGCTTCAACAACTCTGCCAGGATTCAGACTTTTGTTCTGGTAAAAGTCCTGTGATATAAAATTGCATATATAGATAAAGTGTTAGTTTTTTTTAGTTTAGTTTTAGTAGAGTTTTTATGGCGCTCGCAACTGCATAAGGTCATATGAGTGCTAAAGGGTGGATGTCAACAGAGAAGTCCATACAAGGAATCAAATCAGGCTTACTCTGCTCACCTGTCTAGCTTCAACAGCTCAAAGTCTGCTTCAACTATCAAGGCACCCTGGAAATAGCACGACACAAGAGAGTGACAAACATACAAAAGAAGTAGAGGAAAGTGACAATAGTAAGGATAAGGAAAGAAAAAGCAACAGTTCCCCGCAGTTCAGACACAGTTGTGAGCATGACATTGATGAATCAGCCCTTTTACAATTCTACTTAGCATGTAAGAACATGTTAATGTACCCCCTTTGAGAATGGCCTAAAGACACTTCAGTCAGTAGCACCGCCCCGGGAGGTGTTCAACAACTCTGCCAGGATACAAACTTTTGTTCTGGTAAAAGTCCTTTGATATATGAAATTGCATCATGTAGATCAAGTGTAGATAGTGAACAGATGGATGACGTGAAAAGACCAGGATAGTATTGGTTGTTGTTTGTTGTTTTTTAACATCCGAGCTGAGAAATTAGGGACGAACCATGATTGCCGATATTAGTTTCAGATCTGGCGCCTAGAAGGAAGGGAAGATAAAATTGTCAAGAGTTTCTGTAACTGCTAAAATGGTCTGCATGCAGAAAAGCAAAGTATCTATCTGAAGGATGTTTCACCTTGTGGTTTCTCTATGGTTTTATCGTGACGAAGCCATGTGTTTTATTTTTAGTGAGGCCTTTCTTGTCTTGTTTCTTTTTCTGATATAATGTTCAATTAAATTAAGTTTCTTTTTTTATAAGCAGGGTCAAAGCAGTTTGCATCCTAAAAGTATATAATCGAAACCGTTTCAAAAATGATGTAAAGCATTAACATGGCAGTCCATCATTACAAAATTGGCGGAAATGTTACGATTTTTTTTTTTTTCAGTTTATGCAAATACGACCTTTATTCCCCTGATTCTAGGAGTTAAAACAAATTATTTTTGTTGTCAGTAGGACGGCTGCCCCAATCCATCCCCACCCTTACAAGGAAGAAAAGAAAATCGGACCTCAACTGTCTATGTCACTATTTTAAAAGTACATACGTGTATTATAACACACCCCCTGTTCATAGAGCCCTTGTGGTAGGCACTCAGTGTCAAGTTCCCCTTAGAATAACATTTGTTTTATGCCAAAACCAGGAGTGAGACAAACATAATTAATTTGACAAGGTGTTAAAAAATTCCCGGCCTTTGCATTGTGGGTGAAGATCTAGTCTAGGCTAATGAGAGAATGTGACCCCCTCCCCCCCCCCCCCCCCCCCAAAAAAAAAGCACAAAAAAAGCAGAAAAACTTAATTAATTATTATTGTTTGAAACAAGGTCAAGAGATAGAATGTCACTGATCAGCATTAAAAAACCCCCATCTTTTTAGGCAGTTTTTGTAGAATCGAATGTGCGGTGCGGTGCGGCCTGGCTCTACAGTACTTGCACTCTATTTTAATTTTATCTTTTATGCTGGGTACTTGTTAAGTTGATAACGTGAAGAATTGAGCCTTTAGGAAGAAAAATTGAACTCATGATATGACCTGTTTTACAATTATCGCAAGTGCTGTAAAACTTTTACCGAAGCTGAACGAATTCTGTTCTTGAGCTTCTCTCTTTCCATCTGTTCTTCCTCTCTGTTGCACCTTCCTCTTTCCATCTGTTCTTCGTCTTTGTTCATCTTCTTTCTTTCCATCCATTCTTCCTCTCTTTTGAGCTTTTTACTTTCCTGACCATCTGTTCTTCCTCTCTGCTGAGCTTCTTTCTATCCATCTGTTCCTCCTCTCTGTTGAACTTTTCTCTTTCCATCTGTTCTACTCGTAAAGAATCACAAAGGAGAAAAAAAACAAAACAAAGAAAAATTCAAATTGTTTTTGTTTTGTTTTTTATACCTCATGTTTTCTTCGTGGACAAAGTAATTTTTTTGCCCGTAGAGACAAAAGTCAGACATTTCATTTTCTGTATATGATTATATGGTAAAATTTATTATGTGCACACACACACACACACATATATATAAAATATTACTGGAATCTATGTTTTCTATCTATTTCTCTGGCTGTCTGTCCATCTATCTTTCCTCACATCTGTCAATCCATTCATTTCTATATATTTCTATATATATATATATATATATGTATACGAAGACAGGGGTTGTATATATAATATATACAGTCGAACCTGTGTAAGATGGAATTGCAGGGGAGCCAGAAAAAAATTCCGTCTTAGCAGACAGGGGAATTTAGGGGGAGATGGAGGTTTGGGGGGGGGGGGGGGGGGGGGTTCAAAGGCCCAGCCGGTGGGATCAAGGATCGCTTGTCCGAACAGCCAGCAGTGGTCAAAACCTCACACCTCTCAGCTGCTATCCTCTCTGATAATGACATGCGTCAGTCTTACTTATCCAATTACCACCAGTGCTTGCCTTTCATACGACTGCCATCATGTAACAACGATTGGAGGAACTCTTTTCTCGGCTGGCATTGGTCAATCTAATTTCACACCTCTGGCTTCTGGCTACCCAAGAAAGTTTCCGAAGTGGCTCGCGACTCGAGCACTCTCACAGGCAGTCGTGAGATTTCACACCCACACCACACTGACCATCTGCATCGCTGACGGCTCACTTAATGGGGTAACATCTACCCCCAAATTGCACCCGTACTCCCCTTCCTCGGCCAGCGGCATGGCCATAGCGTTAAGTTTAGAGCCGGAGGAACCAGACTTGCTAGTTTTTTTTCAAATCAAGGTTGTGCGGGCAAAGCATTTTCCGTCTTAGACAAGTGAAACCCTCGGAAGGGAGCGGATTTTTCTTTCCGTTTCCGCGTTGGACAGGTTTCCGTTTTATACAGGTAATTAAAGAGGAATATATCAAGGGAGGAGCGGGGAGATTCCGTTAAGACAGGTTTCCATTTTACACAGGTTTCCGTTAAGGCAGGTTCGATTATATATATATTATATATATATATATATATATAATATTATTATATATACCTTTCTGTCTGTGTTGTATCTTTAGTCATTCTGAGGTTTGTCTGACTCATCCCCCCTCCGTGGGTGGTTGGCGGGTTTTTCCTATCAGACATCTATCGTCCTTATCTCCCCTTCTTCTTTTTTATGCTTGTTACGCTCTAGCTCTTGTAACACCTCTAATCTTCTGGCACTCTTATGACCTTATTGCAGTTGCGAGCGCCGAAAAACCTGTACTAAAACTAAATCATCCCCTCTCCCCCCTTCCCCCCCCTTCATTATTGAGTTACAATATATATCATGTGTCCCCACAGACCAGCCCCAGACTCTGCCTGAGACTCAGGTGGTAGAAGAAGAAAGACAGGGTCCGTCATCCGGTGGAGCCCTCCAGAAACCCCTGAAGGAGTGGTCACACGCTGATGTCGCTGACTGGCTGGAGCGACTCAACTTGCTTTGGGTGTTGCCAGAGTATGTGTTTGTGTGTGTGTGTGTGGGGGTTGGATGTGTGTGGTTCTGTCCCCGTCGTTTTATGCAAGAAAAATTCTGAAATTATGCAAATTGAGCCCCAAAATCTGAAATTATGCGATTCTATTAATTTTAACAAAGAATGATGAAGGAAAATAATCAGAAATTATACAAAAAATGATCAAATTTGGCTTAATTATGAGGGGTACATAAATCCACGAAGACAGGTGGTTGTATAGTTTTATGTGTGTGGGAGGGGGGGGGTTGTGTTTGTGTGGGATGTGTGTGTGTGAGGGGGGGGGAGGGGCTTTGTCTTCTGCTGCTGTGATTTTGTTGCCATTACTACCCTGGTCTACAAGGAAATCTCAGGCTTTAAAACCCAATTGATTTTAATTAATTTAGGGGCACTGAATTAAAAAATACTTGTTTTGTTAGTAATGTTTAGGTCTAGTCTTTTAGATACATTCTAGCTTGAGTTTCATTTTCCTTATTTCGCATAATTTTTTTTAAATAACAAGGGGCATTTGGGATCAGTGATTTTGGACTGAAAATAGATTTTGGTTGGATAATCCAATAGTTTTGAAAGTGACGTAAGTTTCAAAGTAGTATAATTTACTAATATTTTCCTCAGTTCCTTTATTGTGACTCTTTAAAAGTTTAGTTTTCACCCAGCAAACCAAGTGTCTCAGAACCAGAAACAGCTTACATGTATCTTAAACCACACCAGTAGTCCTTATATGCGTCATCGTTGTGTAAACAATCATGACAATTTCTGTTATAATTTTTGCACACCAAGAACCTATACCGCATTAATGAGAACGATATCTATGTTAGTTTCAAGGGCCTGCCATCTTTATTTTAACTGCAACGACGTTGGATACCAAGACAAAAGTTGGGATCCTCACGTATGCGACAATCTGTGCCACAAACCTTTGCCAGTGGCAGCAAAGGAAAAGAAAATCAGTGCCCATTGCAGTGCCAGTGGTTTTGTGGGAATCAGGCAATCATTCAAAAGACTGCTGCTTCGATGTTGTGCAACCAGTTTTTAAAAAGGAATCAAGAGGAAATTGTGGAAGCAAAGTTGATTATTCTGGTGTACCATCTTCCCAATTCCCTGTACCACATGGCGAAGGTTTACCAATTCCTGTAGTGTCAGCGGCAATTACTGAATTTTTTTAAAGTCTGTTCTTCAGGGGTATCACATCCCTTTCTGTGAATTCAGTAATGGAAGGTGGGTGGCGGATGCTCTGGTGTGGTTTGTCCTTCTTTCCTGTCAAACATCTATCTTCCTTCTATCCTCCTCTCTTTTTATATGCTACACTCTAGTAACAACTTTAATCTGTGGCACTTAAAAGACCTCTATTTGTGTTTCTTGTGCCGCAAAACTCTTATTAGAGCTAAATAGAGAGTATTTGTGACACCTGATATTACTGTCTGACATTGCGTGTCTAAACCTGCTTAGTACTCTGATAAGATTGGAGTTCTCCGATTTTATTTTGCCAGTCAAAGAACCCTGATCAGATTTGCCTGTGCAAAGAATTTTTTAACTATTTCTTAATTTCTTGTATTCTGTGTCTTTTAGATCACATTTGACTTGACGTAAATGATGTGAAAATACACTTTTTGAAATTTCTATCTCATTGCAATATTTACACAACTTATCGTAAATGATGTGAAAATGCACATTTTTATTTGTGTATATTTCTTTATTTACCAGGATCAGTACGTTACATAATCGTATTCTATTGGGGTTCTGGAGACTCCAATTTCCTTCCCAAATTCCTTTTTCTTTTGGGAGGATTCCTGTCTGTCGTTCTGTCTCATTTTAACCCCCCCGGGGCGGTGCTACTGACTGAAGTGTCTTTAGGCCATTCCCAAAGGGGGTGACGTTGACATCTTGAGTTCTTATGCTCAGTAGAATTGTAATTGTAAATGGGCTGATTCATCAATGTCATGCTCATAACTGCGCCTGAACTGCAAGAGGGAACTGCTGCTTTTTCTTTCCTAATCCTTACTGTCGTCATTTTTCCTCTACTTCTTTTGTATGTCTGTCACACTCTTGTGACCCGCTATTTCCAGGGTGCCTTGATAGTCGAAGCAGACTTTGTACTGTTGAAGCTAGAGAGGTGAGCAGAGTAAATCTGATTCCCTGTAAAGACTTCTCTGTTGACACCCACCCCTTGGCGCTCATATGACCTTATGTAGTTGCGAGCGCCGTAAAAACCTCACTAAAACTAAATCTAGCGGCGAACAAGCTTGCGGTCGTCTGTCTATCCTCCGTTTGTCGACTGGACTTTGTTGTGTGTTATTTTCGTTCCATATATATTGTGTAATAATAATGTGTATTATTGATAAGGCAAATTAACTCCCTTTTTTGAGCTGGTGTGGGGCTTGATTTGCTGGGTAGTCAATTTTTTTTCCCAGGTAGTCAATTTTTTCAGGAAATATTGCTGGACATCCTGCTGTCTGTCTGTCCATCTCATTTTCCTCTGTTTGTTTCTCCATCCTCAAGTTTCCGGCAGGTCGACGGTCCCTCTATGGTGGAGCTGGTGTCGGGCTTCACTCTCAACTCCTCTCTGATCATGCAGTACCTGAAGGAGATGGGCTTGTCTCTGGCGGAGAACCTCAGGATGTGTGCTGCCCTACGTGCGCTGGCTGACTCACCTCTGCACACGCTGCCCAAAATGGCGTCGAGTTGAAGAGGTACATATAGTGCTGGCACTGTTTGTTGTTGTGTAGCAGGTGGTTGGCGGGTGTTCTGGCGTGGTTTGCTCCTTCTTTCCCATCAAACGTCTAAGGTCCTCATTTCTCTTCCTTCAGTTTTTTGTTTGTTAGTATTACTTCTCTTGTAACTCCGCTAATCTTTAGCACTTATATCCTGACCTAATTGTGATGCAAGTGCCTTGAAACTCTTACTGAAATGTTGAGTGTTGCAGTTGTGTAGCTTGTTCACTTTTGTCTGTCCGTGGGTGGTTGGCGGGTGCTCTGGTGTGGTTTGCTTCGTCTTTCCTATCAAACATCTATCGTCCTTATCTCCCCTTCTTTTTTATGTTTGTTACTCTCTTGTAACACCTCTAATCTTCTGGCGCTCATATGACCTTATGTAGTTGCGAGCGCTGAAAACCTCTACTAAAACTAAAACTTTTGTCTGTCCGCGTTTAAAAACTTCTTGCTTATCGTTGATTTGCACATAACTTTGAGTGGCACTCCTGTCGGCTAGTGAGTGACCAAACACAAATCTTTCTTTTTAAAGATATGATCCATTATTTTTTTTTTTAATTTGATTTGGGCTTAAACTTAAATACTGCCCTTTGGATCCGTACACAGGATCACTACGATAAAAAGGATTTACAGTACCGTGATCCTATGTGGGGCAAATGTTGTACTTGTGTACCCCCCACCCAGCGAGATTTACACACTGGAGATGTGGTCACATTCACAAGAGTTAATTAAAGCGAGATGTTTTAAATCAATGTTTATAATGTCCATCTGTGCAGTATCGCGAAAAGGTTCTTAATGGTCATTCTTTTTTTTTGGTTTTGTTTTTTGTTTGCAGAATCAAGACACAGAGAAAACCGGCAGCAATTACATGGAAAGGAAGGACATGGATGTAACCTGAACCAATGTCTGTTGTCCTATGGCATTCAACTTTTGTTGGAGTGGTCGAGGAAAGTCTTTACATGTATAAAATTTATGGTGCTACAAAAAGAAGCATTAAGATGAAATGTATACAAATTCAAATTTTTTTTACGCAAGAAAAATGGCTGAGGCAGTAATGATATAACCATGATATTATGATGTAATGTGTGTTTGCACATTGCTGACCAGCTGTTCAAATGTACCACGCCCAAAATGTTGAATTTTATATTCATTGCTCTTTCTTAATCAGTGTATCATCAGTTGCAAGTGCTCAAGAAATATATATATATATTGAAATGCGAATTCTAAATATTGCAAAAAAGAAAGACAAAAAACAAAATTTCAGTACAGCTGTTAAAAGAGTGAAAAATTTTGCTTTTTGGGCTCGGTTCATTTCAATAGCTTGCCGACAACTTACTGTATACAGTGGAACTCGGTTTCATCTAACTCAGATTTAACTGAAGGAGTTGGATTCTCCGATTTTTTAATGCATAAAAATCAATAAAAATAACTCAGATTCAACGAACGCATACATGAGCTAGCCCAGATTCAACGAAGTCGCTTGCAGGGTGAACTGCTCTATACGACGAACAAGCCGCCTCCTTTCAATTTCATACCAACACCGGCGTTGTAAGCATGCACCCATGTATTAACTCCTTTTATCCGGGCTACGAGTATACTCGTAACGAGAACCAGTCCGGGCTACGAGTATTCTCGGAACAACAATACGGTCACGTCAAAGAAGCTAGTTCTGCTAGTAATTACCAAAATACGCAATATACGGCGACGCTAGCTCTGTGTGAATGTTTTAATTTTCCAATGAACAGTGGTTTCTTTGTTTTTGATAGGTGTAGAAGCTTGAAAGATGTCTCGAAAACGCACATTCACGACCGACGAAGTACTTTTTGAAGTGGCGCTGGGTTGTGAGGGGGGAATGATACTAATTTGATGAAAGTGACTCTGAAATAAGTGCCGTAAATTCCGTTGTGGATGATAAGAAACAGGACTTAGACTCATCTAATACTACTAATAGCGATTCAGATCATGGTGAAGGGGTCAGTACTGGAATTCGTGCTCGATGGGTAGGACTAGATCTAGATCGCTAGATCTATAAAATCCTATGGGACGTCATGGGCGTGGTAATCAGGGTCAAGTTCGAGGGTGGAATACACCTCAAAATCTACATTGTGCTATTGCTGTATTTCCTAACCACATACATTTACATAAACTACATTCAATTTCTAACATAACTGCCAAATTTCCTTAAAACTTTAGAGTAAATGTAAGAAATATAGCACTTTGAACTGTACGTACTGACTTCTGACTCATACGGCGCGGCGGCCCCAGGACTGGTACAGAGTCCGTGGGGGTACGGCTAGGATAAAAAGAGTTAACTCACTCACCGCCATTGCCGCACCTGTGTCGGTCAATAGATGACGACTGTTCACCGCCACTACCGCACCCCTGTCAGTCGCATATTTTCCTCTTTATTTCTACTAATTGCCGGACACATATGCTGCAACGGCATATCCCAATTACTAGAGTAACATCCGTTTGACCACTCAGAGCAGTTTCACTTTATAAGAATGATTTCCCTTGAAGTTCTGCCTATTTTTGGACCGGGAGTTCCCTTTGTCCTATTTCTGGGTTTGGTTTTGCTGTCTCGCGGCCAAAGTCGACCAAATGCTAATGCTCATGTCGATATTAATTGAAAACGACTAGTAATTTTAGAGATTCTGAATCCATATGATTCAGTTTATTTAGATTCAGATGATGAAGCGCAAAATAATGGTAGTAATGGTAGTTTGAGATGAGAGAAAGAGGCAGATCACCTGTCAACAGCAGTAGGAGCTAGTAGTACTGATACTAGATTTAGTACTAGAGTCTAGTACGACGACTAATGATTCAAGCGGTGACGCTTGACATAAACTTATCAATTTTGTTTTCTTTGTTTTGTTATATATTTTTGTGTGCGTTTTAGGACAGAAACAGCAACGCTTTCACAAAAACAGCAAAAATATTGTACTGGCTAGTTTGGCTTTTTAAAAAAAGTTTTAGTCCCCAAAATTTGTCGGTGTTTGGAAAGCTATAAAACGTGAACAAAATAACTTAAGAGTCAAAATTCTTTCTGTTCTGTAAAGCTCAACATCTCCTATTGAAACTGGCCAATTTTCATTTATGTCTAACATTCATAAATAGGTATGGGGTAACTGAATTTTGAAAAAGGTCAAGAAAAGCTGGCAGGCAGCGGCTTTTTCTGAGCTAAGGCGCCTGCAGCGAGTGAGTTAAAATGTGTCGGGTCGGACGGGCAGCCAGCTCACATGTGTGTGCATGTGTCTGGGGGGATGGGGGGAGGGAGTACTAACGGTCCGGGTGTGGAACGTTGGTAGAGAAACACGCGTAACGCGACAGCTATTTTTTCCTCGGCTACTGGTCAATATTATTATGATAGGCTCCACTTGACATAGATCTACGTAATGAATTGTGCGTTGGACTGTGGAATCAACAGTGATAATAATCTTCCGCGGATCCACGGAATCTGCTTTTTCCTTCCCGGCTCTTCCTTTCCGTGAGTCACGTGGCTCGCGCAAATTATCCTCCGCCTATCGACAACACGATGCCTTACGTTCAGCCTGTGCTATCCTCCAGTGTATGCGATACTCGAATTTCATGGCGCTTCCGTCACGTGAAACTGCTTGTGACTGCAATGTTAGTGTGGGGCCTATTTTAGCTCGAATAGCGCCATTTCACGTGCATGAGCTCTCATGAAAGCATTCATCATAAACGTACTGACTAAATTGGTTTTAAAGTCAAAAACAAATATAGATTTGTGTGGATAGAGGCAAGTTTGACTATAGAATCAAAGAAAGGTGACAAGGTTACTATATTTTGTGTTGGTGATTCAATTGTTGAAGTAGAAGTTCCTCGAAAAGATTTACTGTGGGTGGTTGACGGTGGCAGTGGTGTGGTTTGCTTCTTCTTTCCTATCAAACGTCTATCGTCCTTATCTCCCCTCCTTCTTTTTTATGTTTGTTACTCTCTTATAACACCTCTAATCTTCTGGCGCTCACATGACCTTATGCAGTTTGAGCGCCGTAAAACCTCTACTAAAACAAAAACAAACAAAGATTTACTAATTATCTAATACCACCCCATCCAAGCCCATTAAGCTGTTTTCTCTGTCCTCAAAGGTATGTTTAATTGTTAATTACAAGATTTCTTTTGTAACTGAAATTGATGTTAACAATTTTTATGGATGTTGTAGGGTATTGTGATTTTATTTCGCGGGTTCAGTGCTTCTGTTGGTGTATTTCCCTCCATTTTTGACTTTGACTCGTTATGATCTCAGAATCAAAAGCCGCCGTCTGCTAGCTCTACACAGCAACATAACTTATATGGCAAACAATACGGTATTATGATAGATGACACAAACGTTTATATTTGAACAAATCGGTCCTTTTGCACAGTGTGTGCTTTTTAGAGTTCAGTGTATTTTCCTGGAACTTTTCAGCAATTCTTTGGTATCGAAGAAATGAAAATGCCTTTTATTTGAAACCAAACTACTTTTGATTGAGAAAGTCTGAACATTATACATTACTTGCTCCGTGCCAGTGATTATTTACACAAAAACCTCGTATTTACCATAACGAACACTGGGATTCAACGAAATTGAAGACGAGGCCCGATGACTTCGTTGAATTCAAGTTCCACTGTATGAAGTTACTTCATCCAGTTACTGGATATGAGAATTGAGATAAAAATCTGCTTCCATTTTGTGTTATGAGAGCAGGACACCAGCGTCTGTGTTGGTGCTTCGCCATCGTACGCAGGAGGTGTGAGTTTGATTCTCGAGTGGGGAGAATTTTTATTGAGTAACTTAATCTTTCTGCTGGGATGTTAGTTGTACCCTTCTTATCTCCTGGGGTTGGCCCAGACTGGCAGGGTTGAAGCCTGCTTCCTAAATTATCTAAATTATATCAATGGTGCATAAAACCCCTGTTTATTTATTTTTATTTTTTAAAGAATGCGACATGCGAGTTAATCGGAATCTGAAGGTCTTCTTCCATGTTTTTTTTACTGTATGTGTTTTCCTGCCCCTATTGATACAATTCTGATCATTTTGGAGGCGGGCTTTTGACTGCCTGTTAGGGCCAACTCTCACTGAGGTACACATCCTTCCCTCAGAAAGATGGAAATACTCGATAAAAATGCTTCCTGCTCGGGTATCGAACACATCAGAGAAGCCTGTGTTTTGAGTTGTGAAAAAGTGACATGTGTGAGTTTATCTTAAAGTCTAATTAATGTAAAGGTCGAGTGGACTTTCATTTTGATGTTGGCTTGTGAGAAAATAACATGTATTTTTTTTATTGTTGGATGAGTTGATATGAATGTCTTGTTCCATTTTCTTTTGTGAGACGGGTAGGGCCTGCACAATATTATCTAATCAATGAATAGTGTGAGGCTCCAACTATGTAACTGGTTTCAGTGTCTTAAAATTTTTTCAACATTTCATGCAAAAAAAAAAAAAAAAAAAATTCCTTCTGTTTCTGCTGTAAACAATGAGAGAAGATGTAAAAGTTAGCCCACATTATTTTTTTTACTGTTTGTGAAATATGATAATTATGAGGATAACAATAAAAATCATAATGATTTTTTTAAAATTAACGTTCTTGTTTTTTCACCCCCATTGACACAATTTAGTGTGTGGTTGGTCAGTGCTCTGATGTGGTTTGCTCCTTCTTTCCTATCTAACATCTGTCGTCCTTTCGTCCTTATCTCTCCTTCTTCTTTTTTTGTGTTTGTTACTCTCTTGTAACACCTCTAGTCTTCGGCACTTATATGACCTAAATCCTGTTGCAAGTGCCATAAAACTCTTACTAAAACTAAAGGCACAATTTAAATTGCTATGTTTCTTACCCTGCCTGTCAGAGCCAGCACAGGCGAGAGGGATACACACATTCCTGCTGAAAGACAGAGAGATTGATTTAAAAATCCCCCCCCCATGCACACACACTCACACTCAGTTGACTCAGGAATTAAACTTTGGTCTCCTCTATGTGACGCCGGTAATGATAATTAATTCTTAAAATGCATATGATATCTAAAGTGTCCACTCCTGTACAACGCAGCACTAAAACTAAGTGCCTTCATCTTAACACTAAATACATTTGCATGAACGTGTGTATATGATGCTCTTTAGATTAATGCTAACTCGGGGTGCCCTTTGGGAGATCGGATCTGATCGGGGCGGTTTGCTAGCCAGAATGAGGGCGCAAAGCAGCTATCGTGGTATATAAGTATAAGCCAATCGCGCCCCACTCGTCGCCTAAAAAACAAACGCATTTGTTTTCTGGCGACGAGTGGGGTAATCACACCCGACCTGATCCCATCTGCAATAGGCACCCCGTTTAACACATGAACAGAAATTCTGATTTATACTGTCCCAGCATAAATTAATGATGATATAATAATGTACATCACATTGTGAACGAAAGAGTACTACGATATTTATGAATAGGAAGGACTAACT